TAAAAATAGGCTGTTTTCCTTACACCAGTTCACCAACCCCTCAACCTCCTTGCAATAAGCACCGTCATTGTCATCATGAATAAGGCCCACTAATGTTATATTATCTGTGAAGATCATAGATCAGCTCAGTGCACGTTGTAACACAATAAATCTGCTTTCCCAATACAACAATACCTTACGCTTTTGTTTTGAGTTTTTTGTAACTCTATTTCAGTTCCAATTTTGTATTTATTAAAAAAAATCAAAGAATAATTAAGAAAAGGAGGGTTGGATTCTACATAAACAAATCATGACTAACGGGTTGGATTTTTTCCCTTTCCTTTTCTATATTATGACCTCACTACAACAAATACTGTTTTGGAAATGAATTTCTGGAAAAGGAATAAAAAGAAATACATTCTAAAAAGATTACATATCCCAAAACATTATTTGTCATACTTGGTGAGATTAAATGGTTTATTTTCTTCCTGCATGTACGCAGGTAACTTGTTATTCTTTTTCATTACATCATGTTGTCTTGAACTTTAATTCATTTTCTCAGACTTTGATCATATTTCTCCATGTCCATGAATTCAATACTTAACTGCAGATTTTATTAGTACAAATAACATGGATCCATGATTGAGAATGAAAGCAAAAACAACACATTTGTTTCATAAAGAGAGACTAGACATTTTTGATCTGTATGTTGACCAACTAAGTTCTCTGACAAGATTAATTCCTCTCCTTCAATTAAAAAACAACAAAATCTTCCTTCCTCTTTCATTGAAAAACATACACAGACTTTTTAACCAATTAAAATGAGCAATTTTTCTGACTGTTCCCCTCCCATGCATGTTCATTTTCTGTATACACAAGTTAATGTATCAGTCTCAAGTGTGAAAATTACTTAGGAGTTCAATGCTGTAAATGATATCACCATAAAGACAAGCCTCGAATCCAGTACATACGTGTATACGAAGTATTTAAAAATCTTCCTTTATATAAATTCTACCTCTCATTTGATTTTGCAAGATAGTACAACAGTAATGTTTTTACTATAGAACAGAACAAAAATATCTAATTCAGAAAGTAGACAGTACCTCAATAAAAGCAAATAAAATCTACTCATCCAAATCAGATCATGTTTTCCACCAAGCTAGTAAAAGAGCTGCAGACATAGTCTGCTTCCGATCAAGGACTCTATGTATATTATACCTTCGTATTTCTCTGATGGTTCACTGGTAAGTTTTCAAAACCATAACCTCTGAAACATATGACAACTTTGTTTGAGTGAAGACATATTATGTTGACTTAGATCACAAATTGAAAACTGTCAACAAAGTACTACAGGTGCCAAATGTCTGTATACTCTTTTCCTAGGTTTTAATTTCAAAGTTTCAAAAGGCAAAAAGTTTCAAAAGGTACCACATGAATGATGAAGAATAAAATAAATAATGGCCCTATTTAAACCCTTGAAAAAAACTTCTCAATAAGTGTTTGTGAAAATATAGGTAGTCCTTGGGTTAAAAAATGTCCAGCTTACGGACAACCCATAGTTACAAATGGGCTGTTGACTCAGAGGTGTATGATATTCTCCCTCCGTATCCCAGCCAACAAACTATCAAAGCCACACAATGTCTCCATAAGCATCGCAAAGTAGTGGATGCATTTTTAACATACCATACAGCCAGTTTTCAATGGTTCATGAAAAAAATTGCACCAATGAACTGCTGACTTGAGGAAAGAGAACACCAGCTGCAATTTTACTTTGCAAATGGCCCTTCTGTTGTACTATCCTGCAAAATCAAATGAGAGTAGAATTTATATAAAGGAAGATTTTTTTCAATGGTTTATGTATACGTATGAATGAAAGAAAAGACGGAGGAAGAGTACTGTAAATGTTAATCATGATCTTTCCCCCCCGCCATATCTAAACGTTTTAAGAGCCACACACATTGACACACAGATTTCTTCAGATTGATACTAAATACTTGTTCCAACTTATATAAATTCAAGTTAAAAGTAGATTTAGGAAAGGAACTCGTTCTTAGCAAAGGGACTGCCTGTATCATACCAATGGACAATACAAGTGATAATAAAAATACATTCATTAATTTTGAAATCTGTAATAATTCTACACACACTTCATAAAGCATTCTCTCTCTCTCTCTCTCTCTCTGTGTATGTATATATATATATATGTATATGACTAGTAATAGAACTAAAAATTCGACTCTTGGGTGTATTCATATTGAAATAAAATAACAACGATCACCAAGAGAAAGTTTAAAATATTTAAAAGCAATTAAAAGATTAAAAGCAATTAAAATATTAAAATATAGGCAACCAAGCTTTCGTCGGGCTCTCCCGACATCATCAGGGTTGATAAAGGCAGTTTCGGGGAGGACTTATATGCCGCCTCCAACCACCTTTATCAACCCTGATGATGTCGGGAGAGCCCGACGAAAGCTTGGTTGCCTATATTTTAATATTTTAATTGCTTTTAATATTTTAATTGCTTTTAAATATTTTAAACTTTCTCTTGGTGATCGTTGTTATTTTATTTCAATATATGTATATATATATATATATATATATATATATATATATATATATATACACACACACACACACACACACACACATTTATTCACATACATGCACACAGGCATACATATACAGTATATGTGCACATATTTAAATATCTACAGTATGTCTATTTATACATACACACACAGCAGAATGCTAAATTAGTATTATGCACTACATATCAGGTTCAGATTAATGAGTACTTAAACTTTTGATACATTTAAACTCAATACAAGCTTTTAATTCAAAGAACCAATACTATTTTGCTTAAACTATTTTTTCTTTTTTGCTGAACAAACACAATTTAGGAAGGAAATAAGATGAGAGTTCTAATGCCACGGTACAAGCATATAATTTAAGATGCTTTTTGAAATTATATACTGCAACAATACACACACCCCAAACTACCACCTCAAACTTGAACAAGATAGACAGAACAATCCAATGGGCTTTATGAAAAAAATCCTAGTCTGTTCAAAAGGGTAAACTTTGCTAACTAGGCATGCACAAAATTCCAATTTTTCAGTCGGATAGTACTACAATCTTTGTTTAATTATTTTATCATCAAATGTTCTAAAAGAATGATTTTAGGCTATTCTGACATATAATTCTCTTTTAAAACTCTCATCTGCTCTTATAATTGTATCTCAGTAAAATATTGGATATATCCTCTAAGAAATGAACTGAAAATTAAAACATACACAGGGACAGGGAGAACAAACAAAACAGAAAAGAAGAATAATCTTGCAATCTTATAACCGAAGAAGAAATACACAGAAACATACAAATACCTAGCTCATATGTAATGTATACAATGATCAATGACTTCATAAGTTTAGCTGTGAAAAAAGGATCAGACAGCTGGAAAGCCTGCTATTTTCCACTTTGCAAGGAAATATGGACTGTCCACTTTGGTATATCTTCAATTTCAACACAGCCTAACAAATTTCCTGCTGACTTGACATCAGCTTATGTTACAGGTGCAAAGGACATTTTTTCTGACAAGTGTAATGAATTAATCTATAAACCATAAGGACAGCTTCTCTCATTCCTTAAGAGTTTCAGAAATTAATTACAAAAGCATTCACATCAATTTTTGGCTGTTCTATCATGAATTAATACAAACCAAACATATATGAAGAGTTGGGAAATCTGTTGCAAAACTAATTCACCAAAATGGATTAAGCAACATAATGGAGTATTTTCCTTTCTTAAATTATTTCTGGCTATTGAAAACGCTTACAAAAGAAAACAATGTTCACTTTAATTAAATTCAATACATTTTTTCCCTGGGCACACTGGAATTCTCCTTGAGGTAAAATAGCCTTTTTGTTATACTGAAGCTACGCCACTCTACTGGCTTGAGCATGGCACAGAAAAGATATTCCCTATGTATATGCTGCTTAATGTGAATCTTAGTCACTGGTATATCTGTGTGTGTGTGCATGCACGTGCGTGCTCAAACGCACACACACATGCATAAATGTCAATAGTGCTTTCATATAAATTCCTTTGGTAGGGATTTTTTAAAACAATTTGAAAAACCTTTCCGGGTTTTAAGCTTTTTGAGGAACGATGGAAATAAAATATTGAAAATAAAAATTATGTTGTTTATGTGTATATATGCATATATCAGCAAGAATATTCAAGCAAGCCTTTGTGTGCATAGAATACTTTGAAACCAAGTGTACATTGGAGACACTGCAACTTTGCTTTTACATAAAATAAGTACAATATTTTGATGCCATAAATGTAAGAGCCAATTCAAACTGGAGGGGGGGGGAGCTCATTGTAATTAAAAGAGTTGGAACATTCAGTTCTGTTCACATTGTTTTAAAGGGTTTCAGGCTCTATCTATACTTAAGAGAAAAGATTATAACTCTCCTAATATAAGATTGTATTTAGGATTTTTTTCAGTAAATATAATAATCCAAACAAAATAAACTAAAAGCACTTTACCATAGAAATATTCTAAATAAATACAAGTAAAGAAATAATTTTTTCCTTTTTCACCACTCATAATTTAAAAACTTAAAACTCTTTATAATCAATGCACAATGACGCACACACAGTTTTACTGTAACTTCCAAGAAACTATGTTTATGTTTATATTTTTTTAAAGATACAAACTTTAAGCAAACACAAACAAAATATACTGGGATAAATGTCTGGCAGCTTCTAGCATTTTCATTAAAAATACAACTTTTATCCTTTTTGTGCAGAAGTAAATATCTTTTTTATTCTAAGCATGTGTTAATCTGGCTGCCAGAAGGATAAAGCAGAGCTGGAAGATGTCAGGTCTGAATCTATATAGACCTGTAAAGATAGTTAAGGTTTTAAAAGAAAAAGTGTATCTGGACTTTTTCACTTAAAGTAGATAAACTTTCAGTTAGTGTGTTTCCTTGCCATGTTTTTTCTTGATATCATACCTCACTGGTTTCCGGTCTCGAAGCAAATCTTCCAGGCTGTTTCTACAATGTTCAGCAACAACCACCAGCCTCTCTGATGGAAAATATAGGCATGAACAAAGACAGTTTTAGTATAATAATATGCATATAGAAACCAAACACTTTTACTTTAACATCTTGTCAAAATTAAAACCATATTATGACACTGCATCATGTAATATAAAGAAGATGCCTACTTAGTTTAATGAGATATAACAGAACGGGGAATCCATAATGCCAGAACCCTCAATAGGATCTTTGTAGCTTCCAAGATACCACGTATGATACCCATGAGGCCCATCCCACCTTAATTATTTTTTTAGTTTGTTTAACTGCAAACAAAATTAAACAAGAACCTGGAATTCCACAAAGTAAAAATCTCCAAATTTAACTTTGCTTCCAGAGCTCTTGGATTCTAAGCTCCATAGGGATTATTAGGAAATAAAAAATGGTGAGTTGTAGGTCAGTGCTTACATTAAAATGTGTCTGTCTGCCTGGCAAAGCTAAACTGGTTGCTGAGGTGTTTTCTGAATGACTACAGAAGGTGGCATGGAGTGACCTTATTTAAGCTGCCTTGAGATATAAACTGGTATTTTATAACTAGCTGCCTTTATTGTGACAGCTACTTTGTGAATAGGTAAGTCTCCCTCCCCATAATTTTTTTGAATGTCAACATGTTCAAATACAGGTAGTCCTCAACTTACAACAGCTCACTTAGTGACCGTTCAAAGTTACAACGGCATTGATAAAAGTGACTTATGACAGTTTTTCACATTTACGACCATTGCAGTATCCCCATGGTCATATCATCAAAATTCAACTGACTCACAGTTATAGTGTCCCAGGATTATTGTGATCACCTGTTGCGATCTTCTGACAAGCAAAGTCAATGGGGAAGCCAGATTCATTTAACGACCATGTTACTAACTTAACAGTAATCCACTTAACCACTCTGGCAAGAAAGGTAAAATGGGGCAAAACCTGCTAAACAACTGTCTCACTTAGTAACAGAAATTTTGGGCTCAATTGTGGTTGTAAGTCAAAGGTTACTTTGTTGGGAACGCTTACATGGTGAATACTGGTTAACATATAGCTAGCAGTTATTATTAATAACCACTAAATCCAGATGTAGTTTCACAAGTCAGATTTCATGTACTTTTTTATCCATTTATTACTTTTGAAATATATATAGCTACTTTTTATCCCAAAGGAGGATTTAAAGCCAATGCTTCATTAGCAGGGAAAAATCTACCAGCTTAGCAGAAAATGTTCCATTTATTACATTTTCTATGTTTAAAGGAAATGAAGTATGTCAGTTCCAAAGTTTGAGATTTTTTTCCCCTATTCCATATGTGAGCATCTTCCACCTAGTCCCGAAATACCACTTTGTGACCTTCTTCTTAAAATTGTTGAATCCAGAAGATGAATGCACAGCTTTCTCCTTTGGCAGCCATATTGATTGTTTGGTTTTGCTAATTAATTTTATTCTAGGAATTTTAATTGGTTTGGGAACTGTTTGGGTATTTTTTACTGCACATTATGTATTTATCTTGTGTATAAATTGCCCAGAGTGTTTTAAGAACGCAACAGTATATAAATGGGATAAATAAGTAGCCACTGACTTTTACTATTGCAATGATGTAATTGTTTTATCACTAAAATATAACACTTAAAATGAGGAACGGTGGAATCTGTGATGTTTCCTATGCTTCTTTCACCTCTATTTTTCCCTTTCATAGAAATATTTGAAGAATTCAGCAACAAGTTAACTGTCAAGCACTTCTTGAAACATAAAAAAACATTCAATGTATAGCATAATAGTGAGGTTAGTCAAAACACTTAGCTGATATGTCTATTGATTTTTTTTAGGGCTATGCCCATCTTAACAGTATTCTCCATTGTAACTACACCTTTTCTTTCCTTGTTCATATCTCAAAATGAAGTAAAGATCAAATCAGAGCAAACCTATCCTTATTTTCCTCTCAGAAACATTAACTAATATTGACTTTTAAGTTACACTTTAAAAATTTACTGTGCACAAATTAACTCAAATTTTTTAAAAAGAAATTAAACAGGATATCATTCAGAGAATTAATAAAAGTGTGAATTGTTTTAAAACTAAATTGTTAGTACTGTAGAAGGGTTAATGCAGACTTAAGCCCTAGCACAGAAAACTTTAATCCTTGGTATGCCATACAAAGGATATACCATTCCTCAAGATTTTCTAGCAAAATGGAAAGAAAAACTTATCTTTACATGAATAATAGTCAAGATTCCCAGGTGGGATTTCAGCCAATGGCAAAGGATGAAAATCATGCAATTCCAGGTGCCAATATCAAGTATACTTTTTACATAAATATTAACTGCATCAATGGCATACATAACATTATTCAATAGTTAATGTTGCTTGCTTGATCTTATTCAGTATGCTTAAATCACACTAGAAAAAAGGGGCAGGAAGTTAATAACTAATTTAACTCCATGCATTTAAACACACTGAATGCACTAAATACTTCAGAATGTAGGCTATTCAAAATACCTTTGCTTCCGGTCTACCACAAAATGCCCCTAATTTTCATTAAAATCGTGTGAAGCTATAATGTGGTTTGTTTTGTGTTATGTGCACTCAACCATTATGGTTTGTAAGCCATGATTTATGGCATAGCGTGACTGGTGCATCCATCTAGAGCTTTCTATGAAAATAACAGCCAATTTGCTATATACACAGACAGGCATATTAAAATAAACCAAGGCTAATACAAAGTAGAAACTCACCCAGTCTAACATATATATCACAACCTTCACTACAGTCAAAAGTTAAGGCATATGGATTATTAGCTTACACCAACATTCCTTGACCTGGTGTCTTCCAGATATGCTGAATCATAGCTATCAATATCCAGACTACACGGGATTAATGGGAATTATAGTTAAGTTGTGGAGAGCCAGTAGCAACCATAACGTGTCATATTATGACATCATTATGAAAGTGGTGCAATTATTATAATGACATTATGACATCTGGTGGAAATACATCAGTCACCTAATCCTAATGCAATTTGCACCTATGTATCCTGAAGAAAGCAATGTATCTTAAAACACAAATTTTAAACAATAAGAAATTAATATGTTTCATTTCATTTTCATATGATGTGAAAAAATGCAATTTAAACTGTGTCATTCAATGATTTGCAACATTCAGAAGTCTATAAGCAACGTAGAGGTATGAATTACAGTTGCCCCATCAATTTTACTGTTCTATGTGCCAGCAATAAATTCTACAATTTAAGAATTGGGAGTAGGAAGTGGGAAAGGATTGTTGAAAGTGCCTTCTGTGAAGCACATTTCTTTTCAACTTCCTACATCAAAAGAGAGATTTAAGGAATTAAAGTGAAAGCAAGACCCATTGATGAAATACAGGACCTAGGAAATAAACTGAATGTTCATACATTTAAAACCAAACAGAACCCAGCAAAAAAAGAAGCTTGAAAGAGACAAAGGGGATGGTAGAGAAAAATATATAGACAGAGTCTGAAAAAGGAAATAGCTCAAAATTATCAGTGTAATCTGAACTATAGGATAACAAAGCCTGTAAGGAAACAGCAGCTACATACATCTGTGACTGTTATGTGTTAACAATAGCGATAAGACTGAAATATGCTACAACGGAGTCAGTCTGGAGGAAAGCAAACAAATGCCTTTGAGAAAAATAAATGTAGAAATCTTTGAAGTTTCTAGAACTCTGAACTACATATACAAAATAATTAATGTAACAGTCTTCGAATCACACCCAAAAGTTATGGGGCTGAAAAGAACAATACAACTTACCGTGTTTTCCACGAGAAATATCCACATACTGGCAAAGCCGGGGATATGTAAGTGTCTTAAGAATCTGAAAGCGGCCCAGGATCTTTATAGAATTTGGAGTCAAAGGTAGACCATTGCTGCCACAAACATCATTTGGGAGAGCTGAAGCAAAAAAGGTGAAAGCTCCTAATTCTGAATCCTTTAAGGGAAACATGTCAGAAGTCTAGAACATGTGTGCCCCTGAAAGAGAAATGAAGAGGAATTGATAGAAATAGGTTGTATTGAAGCAAAATAAAAACTGCTAAATACTGATTAGAACTAACTAAAGATAACTACTGTATGTCATTATTTATAAATTATGAGGTTACTTTAATCAATATTTCTTTTATAGCATTCAGACCACTCCAAATAGAAAAGCCTCAATCTGAGATTATTCAGGTAGTCTTTAGAAAGAAATTATATGGACTAAAGAGAAATAAAGTGGATTTTTTTTCCTCATTAGTGGTTCAAAAAGAAATAAAAGATAAAAGTATTTCACTTATAACGAAACCAAAAATATACAATGAACTTCCAGAAGGAATAAGTGTAAAAACAAGTAGGAAAGTATTCAAAACAATCTCAGATAAATTTAACATTAAAAAGGTAAAGACAATATATTAGCATTAATTAAGATCTATCAAAAGTGTATATATTAGTTTTCATTTAAACATTTTACTTATAAATAAAAAAGCTGCTTTGATAGTATTGACTGTTTTTTAATTGGGGGATTAAAGTTGTATAGTTGGGGCACTGATGCTTTAAACAGGAATATAAAGAACAGCTTTCTCAGTACTGTGGGATAGAAACACCCAGCTCACACGGCAACTGGCAATGGGTCCCCTGGATTTCAGGCAATAGAATTTTTGATACCCAAAAATGCTGACAACTACACCAAAACATTTCAGCCTGCACATTAGTCTACTACTGTAATATTGTCTACTACTATGTTACAGGTATGTTCAGGTTCTGGGTGAAGACAATTAAGTATTAGTAAAATATTAAACATTAGGGTTAATTTAGCTGATGTGCATGGTGAGGTGAAGTGGGTATAATCCATTTCCTCATTCACCACTCCACGGATATCCACATCTCCATCCTGTCCTTGGTGAAGAGGATGAGTATCCCATAGAGCAGGGGTGTCAAACTGCCGGCCCGCGGGCCAGATGCATCATAGTGAAACCACGCCCACCCCATTGCCGGCAATGGCAAAAAAGTCGTGATACGTTGCGACACATCACGTGACGTTGCGAGTTTGCCACCCCTGCCATATAGAAAGGAACATATTGCTCTTTAGCTAATAGAAGGCTATGGCAGTACTTCCCCATTATATCCTCTAAACAAGCTCAAAGGGATTTAATTTCTGAGACCCTTTGTGCACATGCACCACTGGAAGATATTGGGGTGTGTGTGTAGTTTTAGATACTGCTTACTGATCAATCTCTCCATGGATTGAAGCTTTTAGCTTCAAGACCTAAAGCAGACATTTATGGAAGTATTTTTCACTATCTTTAGCTAATATTGGATATACACATAAATTTCACTATATCAAACAAAGACTCCATTCAATATAATCCATGTTATTTTTCAGCAAACATGATTTATAATTTAAGTATTGGAGAATATATGATGGTGACAACGAAGCCTCTGGCATGTATTAGTTTTCTTAGAACGTTCAACAATATTTGTAATGCAAAGCAAATGAAAAAGGTTGAGAGACAATATGTAACATAAAAGTCAGCATAACTTGGACTAAAATCTTTCCCATGGATAGGAATTACAGTACCTTTGTGGGCAAAATAAGTAGGCTTCATAAAAGCTAGCCTTGAGAGAAAGAAAACATTGAAAATCAAAGTATTTAAAAGCAGGATTAAAAAAAAGAAACAAAAATGAAGCAGGACAGTTGAAATTCCTAAAACAATTGGAAAAATTAATTAAGAAATGAAAAGGGCAGTGGAGAATAAATAAAAATGGCACTGCAACTGAAGATGTGAAGTGGAGAAAAGCAGAAAATGTTCAATTCCTGTGGCTTAATGAACAAAGAACTATCTCCTAATGCAGTATTTTCTTAACAAAAAGATGGAAAAACTTGTTTTCACTCTCTGGGAATAATAAAATAATAAAAACAAAGGATCAGAAGAACTGAAAACTGCTAATGGTGAAATTACTTTAAAGTCAGAAATAGAGACAGACCAGGCATTTAATGTAATGTTATGATTTCTAACTTTTAGTTCATTCCTCATCAAACAAATCATCAAGCCACTGTAACTCTATTTTAAAATCAAATATGTGCATGTGTTTTAAAACAGAATGCAACAATTTATAATAAGTTATACTCTTCAAAAATATAACTTTTCAATTAACCAAGTTATATATGTAACTTATTCTATAAAATAGCTGTTTGTAAGGGTGATTTAAAAATTGTATATTATACTAATTTTGTACCCTTTATAACATCCATAAGTCTTCCAATCTGATTTTAGACATGCTTAATTTAGAAGTGTATTCAAGGTGGATCACTCCTCAGGCATATTTTTCTACAGCCTTTTACTTCCTTGTGCATCTAATGCTGCATTTCTCTTTCCCTTTTGCTTTACTACGCTTTTATTTCCCAAATCAATTAGGATTGGATTATTCTTTTAAACAGAATAATGAACGATATAATCAACATTCACAATTAAGTGCACTTTTTCCTATCCACTGCGTTGCTTTATGTTGGTCTGCACTTATCCATCACCTCAAACAACATACCATGAAAAAAAGGTAATCCAATATAGCAAACACTTGATTGGAGAATAATCAAGCATATCAGACAACGCTGTATTGCTAATAAGCAGCTCACAGATAACATCAATAGTTATCTGTCAACAAGCACAATTTATATTTCTGCATTAAAAAAGACTCAGCCAAAAATTCTGTTTTTACGGAATAACTGAAATCCGCAAATACAGTGGTTTCGTTTCCCTTTTCGAATTGAACAGTTTACACGTGAATCACAGTTAAAAAAAAATGGCCTGGGCTTGAACTGCATGTCTCCCCACGATTAACTTAACCAGACTTTTCTGAATTTCCCGGGACAGAAAGGCATTCTGAACCATGAAGCCACTCGATATACGACTTGGGTTCACACATCCAATGTTTGCACGTGTCTTGTGGCTCAAGTAACCGTACGAACAAAACCATATTCTCACACCAGGCCTCCCGGCAAGAAGATCCACATAAAGAGATGGCCCGGCTCACACTCACACTCACACTCACACAAATTCAAAACACCCAGTGCGCTCCCCCACGAATTCTCCCCTCCAGCCTACCAACCTGCTCCAGCTGGTCCTTCCTCCTCTGACTCCGCCCCCTCCTCGGCTCGTCCACCTGACTGGCCAAAGCCAAGAATGAGTGCGCACGCGCCGCGCATGGCATTTTTTGTCTCCCGTGGTTGACGCGTGCGCGTAGCCATCTACCCGAGCTTCTGCTGCAAGCAGGGTAAGCGAGTAAGGGAGGGATGAACTCGGTGGCCGCGTGACCTTTGCCGTTAATGGGGTCGTGGATGAATAAGGAAGGGGGCGCGTGCCTGAATTTCTGTTTTTGCTGAGGGGGGGTGTCCCTGCGGGGAGCTCTTCGGGCCCGTCAATTGCTTTTGGGTACAAAGTCAGGCTTGCCGAGTTGGGATGCGGAGGTGGGGTGGGGGGTTCCTCTTGATCAGGGGTAGGCAACCTTGGCTCTTTTATGACTCGTGGACTTCAATTCCCAGAATTCCTGAGCCAGCATGGCTGGCTCAGGAATTCTGGGAGTTGAAGTCCACGAGTCATAAAAGAGCCAAGGTTGCCTACCCCTGCTCTTGATAATAGGTTGAGAGACAATATGTAACATAAAAGTCAGCATAACTTGGACTAAAATCTTTCCCACGGATAGGAATTGCAGTACCTTTGTGGGCAAAACAAGTAGGCTTCATAAAAGCTAGCCTTGAGAGAAAGAAACGAGCGGGTGGCTGGGAGTACCCGTAATAGGGATGAGTGGGGGGGGGGTGTTGAAATATCGATATGCAGTAATTCAAGTTCGCTTTTTCCTCCAACGCCTTCTCTTTTTTTTATTGTGTTGCTATTTATTTGTATCTGGGGATAGATAGGCATTCAGGGAATGTCTAAAAACAAGTCTGCTGTAAGAAGAGGGGGGGAGGAGGAGGAGGAGGAGGAGGCAAAAGGGGGACGTCGAGGCTCTTGAGCATCCGGTGAATGCCTTGAGAAAATAATAAATATTAGGTTGTGAGTTTGGGGGAGGGAGGAGTTTATGAGTAGCGATATTCCTGAACTGATGCTTTCTTTTTTCTTCCTTGCGATTTGCCTCTCTTGTTGCAGTTTTATCTCCGGTTTTTCCTCTCACTGGTCAAGCCAACCCACACAGATAAGATATAAAAAGGAAAGTTTAATGCTGCTTCTAGTTACTGGCCTATATATAAAATAACCCCATAGGTGAAGTCTCTTTCTTCAGGCAGCTGTAATGAACATAACTACAAACAAGGATTCAGTCATAAAAGCTTACGTTAAAGAGTGTTACTCTTAAAAATGTTAGAATATTTGGCTTTTTAATGCAGCAACTCTGTTTCAACAAGTTTGGGATCCTATTTGAAGATTTATTTTAGTTAATAAAATAACTTTGAGAGGTAGAACTTCTTTTGCTTTGGAAGTGTTTATTCTTAACTTTTTGCATGTGGCTATTGATGTTACATGGGATATCTGGTTTTCTGATACCTGATTTTCAAGTTAGATGACTGTAAACTTACTAACATGAATGGAAGGATGAATGAATGAATGAATGTGTCTGTATATGTATATTCTATATTTACTTTATCCTCATTCTATTAATCTATTTACTCTCAATCTTACCTAATGCTATTCTATCTATACTAAATTCAATATGTGTGCCTTTAAGATCTTTTTGTGTACTTTTTCTTTTGTCTGTGCAGATGTCTCAATTGTACTGGCTTAACATTCTTGGTCTTTAATGCAGTCTAATTTATTCTTAAAGGGAAAAAAAGAATTGTTCAATGTGATAGTGCAGGTGCATTTTCAAGGTTTGTTTTAATGGTGTCCAGGCATATTTACACGATTAACTCTGCCTCTCCTGATATCAGGTGCTCACAAAAGACAAATTTGGTGGGGAAGAGGAAGTAGAGTTGAGGGTCGTATCTTCCACTGAACTTTGCAATGTGAATCTCTTCTCTGGCAGTACCTGTTAAATGTGAGTGAAACTAACATTTGGTAGTCTAATACATTCCTTTGCATAGATGGAAGGATATTTGTGTTGTGAATGAAGTAAGATATGAACGTGCAAAATAAGGATCTAAGTCCAATATATCATAATATGAACAGAGCTTTAATAAAAGAAAAACAGTGGATGGAAGAAGGTGATGAAACCAGTGCTTGATTATTTTTTTCATATTAGTTCCTTCATCACCACCTACTAAACTGTTTTTCCAGGTCAGGAAAGTATTTTTCTCTGAGTAAGACATCTTTAAGCTAAGCTTCATATTGAAGGGAAAAAGCCAAAGACATTTTATGGTAAATGGCTGAAGTCAGTTCTAATTATAGATGACAGAGTGATCTATATTTTATTTATCAAATGTATCAAATTTCTATGCTTCTCATTTCTATACTTTTATAGAATATAGAAATATTAATTAAAAACTAATAATTCTCCCTGTGAAGAGTTTACTTGTAAGTCAATCTAAGGTTATTAAAACTTTTCTCCTTTTATTTCTAACTCTTCCACTATGTGGCTGTAAAGAAAATTTTAATAGAATATTTTGACATATAACTGCCTTATCTTCAGTAAATTAGATCCTTGACAAATCAATTACTTAGAGTTCTGTGACAGCTCCGTTGTATTTCTTTTTTTTTCATTTAGTGTAAGTGCTTTG